GCAGGAAGTTTCAGCTACTTTTCCATCCCCAGAACAGTGCAAATGTAAATTTGGTCAATTAAAGAAAATTCATTGCTGTTTTTCATCAGCAGACCAGTACAAAGGAGCTAGCATAGGCACCAGTGATCCTGGCCATGAATGCGTAACTGTTTGTTAAGAACATAACATTCTCACATACGGAAGAACAAAGTTAATGGATTGTGTGTTCCAGCTGCCCTTTTTTTCCTAAATCAGGAAATAAAAAGTTAATTTTGCTATGTTATACACACTAGCATAGCATTGTCTCTCTGCTTTCTTTCCAAATGTATATCTTTTTCATTTTGGCTTTTTGTTATTTTTCATTGTTCTCTCTCTTCATTTCCATAAAGATTTCATGGATCTCTATAAAAATCTGGGAGCTTGAATGCTAGCTGACCAGGGTTGAGAGCTGGTCTCCACATGAGTTCTGGCACTTCACCTCCTTGGGGAAATGCTGACAATCTCAACTCACTCTGGACCTAATACTTCACGATTGCTCTTTACCAGCCTGGAAAAGAAAGGGTCCAAATCACAGGTTAGCACAAAGCTGCATCTACAGTCTCTTTGGGCAAAATGATTGACACTGGTTGAAAGTAAAGAGTTTTCCCTTAACACAGTTCTGTTTCCATGGCAGTAAGCAGCACAGGCCAAACCTGAGCTATTTTATCTTCAAAGTAATGTGACATTTTTCACAGCAAATAACACTTAACTGTAACCAAATGCCGTCTAACCAACTGACAAACAAGAGCATTAATTCTACTGGGTAAGACTCAGCATACATGATGAAGACCAAGGCTTCATCTTCACCTCTTGCACAGCCAACGTAGGAGAGCTGTAACAAAAATCAAAACACTTGGCATGTCACTATTTGGACTCAACAGGAGCCTTCCTGTTGAGTCTTTCCTTCATCTTCATGTGCTGTAGATCAACCTCATATAAACACATACACGCATATGTATATTTATGCACATATGTAGGCTACTGTATCAAAAAGGAAGAAAATACAGTATTATGATTTTCTACAGATTATTCTCAGGGTGGTCTGTGGAAGAACAATCTTATCCTTCAAAGTGGCCTAGAAACTCTGTCAGATATTTTGGTTCTGTGATAAAACTTTTCCCTGAATTTTGGGTATGAAAGTTGCATTCTTTTAAATGTTGCCATAGATAGGGATGGCATAAGACCTTGCAATGCAAGAAATTTGTAAACTCATGCTAAGAAATTTCTGGCCCTGGCCAAATGCTTTGCCTCGTCAAGCTAAATGCACTGCAGCCTCCAGCAATTACCTTTTCTGATCTATCTGTAGCACTGTCCCTCAACTTACATTCCTATGTTTCTGACCTGAACACTGGATCCAGCTTGTATGTGTTCTGCCATATATATATCTATACAGATCTTGCTATATATATCACCTGAGACAGTTAACAGTTTGTCTTAGAAGTTATGAGATGATCCAAAAGAATCATCATAGATGGTATGAAATCACAAGGAAATCAATCAAGTGTCATGAACGTGATCATTTCATCTTATGCACTGGAAGACATCAAACTATGCATCAACCCCAACCCAGTCTTCCATCCATTTCTGCAATAACATACAAAAAAATGTATATCCCAAAGCTGTGTCAGATATAAAAAAATAAAGATGCCCCCTTCATCCCCTGGTCTCATTTTGCCTCATGGTGAACCATGCACCCAATAAAACAATGAAAGAAGTCTTGTAGCATCAAAGTTACACCCCCTTAATCTATATCAAATCTTCAATCTGAAACTAAAAACCATACGTATCATCCTGGGTTCCTGAGGATTCTTGTATGCTGATAACAAAGGAACTGAGATTAAGCATGCTGATCATGTTTTATACAGATGACACCAACTACAGCACAATATTATTTTGTTCTTGCCTTGTTGCTCCCTGTCACAACCACAGGGATTGAAGGGATACACCCCCCATAACCACAACATTCCTTCGTATCTGCAATATACAGCTTTGTTCAACATTCTTGGCCACATAAGCCTCTTGTTCTTTAGGGTCATACCACTATCACCTAGATTCCAGTACAAATCCCAGAAGCAAATTGCAAAGTCCACAGCAACCAACAGCACCTCAACTAATCCCCCAACATCTCTGGTGAACTTTTCCAAAATACATAGATCAACCAACAGTATACCCACTTCAGTTACCTTACAGTCCATAAACTGTAGCATGCCTCTAAAGAGTCCTGTGGGTCTCTCAGTTGCCACTTACAGAATACTGATTCTGCCCGAAGTCCTACTAGAGGAGTCTGCTCAAAGGGCTGAGAGTGAGGTGCCTGCAGATTGATATGGATATGAAGCCAGGCCACCATGTCCTAAGGTCTGTCAGAATCAGAGAAGAACAATCAAACCCTAGTGGTGAATTTCCCTATACACATCTGCAAATCCTGTTCTTAAGTCTCCACAGGACCACATGCTGCCATGAACTTTTAGGAACTTAAGAACCACAGATCTGGAAGAGGCCTCCTGGGTCAGAGTCCAGACCCTTGCATTCACAGGCAATCATTAGCCATAAGCATCCCTTCAAATCCTCACCCACAGCTACAAGGAACAATATCTGAAACACCAAGAACACCTCACAGCATGCCACAAGTAAAAGCAGGGAAGACTCCCCCTGCTCTACCCTTTGTCCTGCAATTAAGAAGTCTATAAATCTCTTCCTTTCTCCTTCTTCTTTCCAATAAGAAATCCCTTCCACATCTACTCCTTGCACATATTTCCAAATTCAATCCCTCTAGATAGAAAGCTTGCATAGAAAGCTTATTTTCAAAATAGCAGGGTCCAAAAAAGCTACTCAAACAAGATTAGAGAGGGGCAAGGCCAAAACAGAGTAGGAGAAACATCCCCCAACTCCTTCACAGTCCTGGTTTGGACAGTATCTCTTAAAATATCTCCTGGACAGGGAAAGCATGGGCTGGAGCTAGAGGTGTAGATATATTTCTGGCCCTAGGCTTTCCTACAGTCCTGCTACACAACAACAGAGAAAACAGCCACTTTTAAATCTAAACCCTAAAATATATATCTGACAAGAAGAAGCTATTTACCTCATGCCCTCTAAATTTTAAACCAGTCAAACTTCCTCTATTTCTTTTTGAGCTACTGAATCTTAGGGGAACATTGGAGCAGTGTCAGCGCTTTGTAGAACACAGTGTACTACAATTAAAATATTCTTATAAGGAAAAAAAAACACAGATGAAAAACCAAACTGACACATTCATAGAGAAACAGTTCATGGATCATTTCTTACAACATACTCTTTTTTTGTTCAAGAGCCAGTCTCATTTAATTACTAATATTCCAATAAAGAAATCCAAAGTAAATCCAAATCCTGAAGTACATGACCTGCATTTACTTACTGAGCTATTTTTCTTGATGAGACAAAATATGTTGCTAAGGATACGAGCACACATTATCAGATCCTTCTGCTCTTGTAAATGCATGTGGAGATGATGCAAAACTACTGGAAGAAGAATATATCTGGAATCTGGAATGAGAGGGAAATGTTATGAGTGGACTCTACTTATGATATCGTTTCATTTAGTATTTTTATTGAATATAGGATTATATGTATTTACGCAAATGCAAATGTATGTTACATTGATAGAAATATTTCTGATCAGAAGCATTTATCAGCTACATTCGCTATCATGGCAAAGAAAAAAACGCCTCTAAACAGGAACAACCCACTCCAGAAGAAAAAATCCAAAACACAGCATGCCATATGGGATACTGTGAATGTGAAATAAAGCTACATATTTATATAAGTGCTATACGGAAAATTTTGAAAAAAATATTGCTTGCATTCAAAATCACATGAAAACTATATACCTCCCTGTTTTGACATGGCTCCTTTGCAATCCAAAATGCCACTGGCTTTTTTAAGATATTACATTAGGCAAATTCAATTTTTATTTAGTGTCCACAGTTACACCTTTGGGTCTCTTTCACTGACTGCTTTTAAGGTTCCTCCCTCCTACTGAGTATGTGTGATTCACATTTGTCTCTACATGAATTAATTTGCATTTTTCTAGCTGAATCTAATTTTCTGCCCACGGTCCTTCATTATTATTTTTCTGACTTCTCCCAATTTAGTGCCATCTCTCAATTTTACTAACATGCTAGTTACTTCCTCTTCTGATGATCATTAATGAAGATGTTAAATGAGATAAGTCCTAACACTTATCCCTGTGGTGATACTCTAGACACCTATCACCATCCTGTAAGATGAAATTTGTTGCTATCCTTTGTTTATAGGCTTTTTTAGATACTTGAAACTGAGTAAATGTGTTTTGAATATATCTGAATTACACTTTCTATTAAAATATTTTTAGAGAAACCCTTGGATGCTTTATGAAAATCTAACTTTTCTAAAGCAGTCTCCTTGCTCATTAACTTTCTCATTATCTCACTAAACATCAGGGTTGTCTAGCAAGGAGGTTATTCTTTATATACTCATGCTGACAACTGCTCATGATCCTCTCCATAATCAATACTTTGTTCTCATCTATTTTTCTGAAAAAGACAAAATTTAACTCTGTCAGATCAAGATTCTCTCCTTTATTGAAAATTAACACTGTTCTCGCTTTTCCACAGCCTTCCCTGGTTGCCATTTGACTTGAAACATGCCAGAAGGACTAGGTGATTCATATATGATTTGAAAAATATTCCACGTATTTCTTGCCTGCTGCTTATTCTGTTTCCTTTTACATTCTTATTAATTATTCAAATGTTTTTGTATGTTTTTTCCATGCAAGGGAAACTTGAAACAGGAAATTAGGGCTAGATCCAGAAAACAACTTAGGTGCCTACAAGTTTGGCACTGCAATGACCAACTCTTAAGTGTCTGGCCCCACAGGTAGATACCTAAGTTTCCTACACAACATATGGGGAGAGTTGGGTGTCTCAGAAGGGTGATCCAAAAACCCAGGGGCTGAATAAGAGGGCCACACAGCTAACCAACAGGAAATGCTCCTGCAAGTGTGAAACTATCCACTTGAGTTTAGGCACTTTATACAATACTGCAGGGAGATATCTGCCTGTACTTGTGCTCCAGATCCCCGAGTTCTGATCCTACATGTTTTTTGAAAGGACTAAATAGGGCCCATTGTTTTCCAATTAAAACATGATAGGAGGAGGAAGTGGTGCCACCGCTGGCAGTTGCCTAGTGGTTAGAACAACTGCCCATGAAGAAAGACACTTGAATTCAATGCCTCCTTCAACTCGAGGAAATTCAAACCAATATCTCCCACCCCAGAGGAGTGAACTAACCACCCACTTAAAGGCAACACTAGGTATGGTGCATTGCCTAACCTTTTTGTTCAAGTGGGTCTGTTGTGCAAGATTCAAGGGCAGGAGAACAGAACACAAGAGGGAGCAAGAGGCTGTAGAGTAGTAGTTGGAGCTATCACCAGGTACGTGTTAGACGAGTGTTTGAATCCTTTTAAGGTGAGGACAGCCTTGAACCCAGTTCTCCAACTTCCTAGGAAAGTACTTTCTTAGGCTATTGTATAATATATGGGCAAAACATTCTCCTCCAGCCAGTTTATTTTTAAATAAAGTAGCTACAACTTCATGCTCTGAGGGGTCTGATGCTGTTGAAGTACATTAGACACCACCAAAACTTATCAACATCAGGCCTCTCAGGGGACTGAGGCACTTCTCCACTTGGCTTCTTGATCCCAGTGGGACTACATGGGAAACTGGACACAAGTGCTCAGCCCTGGACAGTTCTGGGAACATACCAAAACAGGATGACTGGTACATGTGGGAATTGCAGGACAAAAAAAAGACACATGGGCCTTCCAGGATTAGGCATAGCTATGTAGGGGTATTCTGGATCACACTTTGAGACAAATTTTGGATCTAAAGTGTTTTGTGTGACAAATCCTTTTATTTGGATCTTAGTTCCTCAGCCATAATTGAACCAACCTTATTTATTAATCAGTTTTACCATTCTATTTTTGAAAAGTGTCTTGGTGTTTTAGGCAGTAGAATGGTCAGGGTCTTCATAGTACATATTAAATACAAGAAACAGGACCAAAAGTGCAAAGCCAGCTAATGTTATGGTGACCTTCAACTGTACTGATACAGGCAAGTAGTGCACCACCTACTGAATTATCTACCTACATCATTTACTGCAAAACAGAACAAATTACTTGAAATCATATAATCCAAATATATGACATGAATCTCTTCTTCCTTGCCCAGGTGACCTGCCACAAGCATGGCAGAGGCATGAATGTGGGATCCTGGTCTCTCCCTGCACTGGCAAGTAGCAAGCTCCCGCAGCTGGCAGCCCTTTCAGGTGATCTGGGTTCTCACTAGCAGGTGCACACCACATTCTGCCAGGCCTCACCACCTGATCTGGGCTCCCAGTCACATTGGTGCACCATGTGCCCCTGTGGCTAGGATCCCAGATTAGCAGACAGGGCTCCCATCTCTGGAAGCACATGTAATAACTGTGTGGCTTATTTCTTGCTTTATCACACCATTAAATACATTAATTTGTAGCTTGTTAATGCTGGGTAACAATTTAAGACATGATTAACTGGTTTATCACATCTTAAGTGTAATGTGTGGTAGGGGCCTGAGATCTAAAGGGATCACTAAAAAGCTTTGTTCTGAAAGGTCAGAAAATGCAGCATAAATCACTTGCTTACAGATTTTACCCCCCAGCCACAACAACTGTCAGGTACAATGTCAGCCACTGAATACAGTAAAATTAATGAGTACAAGTAATAGTACAATAATTAGAAGCCTTAACCATCAGTCACTGTCCTAATTTTCTCCACATACAGGAAGCCAAATTAGCTGATTTTTAAAAATGCTAATACTTGCCTTTACAAATATTGTACAGAACTAGGGAAATAAAATTTTCATGACATTACTCTTTTCAGGTCTATGGTTGGCATCATTTAAAGATAGGATACTTGAGACATCTCTGTGCTTTTCTGTTGCACGCTACATGCATTAAATATTCAGCCCAAAAGCAAAACTTTCCCTCTTGCACTCTAGTCAATAGGGACCATTAACATGTCTGCATCATTAGCATGTGATTTTTTTTTTAGTTTCTCTCAGAGGTTTATTATGGAAAGACAGTGTTTCAACCATCATTTATTTCAAAGACTCTTTATTGCAGAGGTGGCCAAAACTGGGGGTTGTAAAAGAACTGTTAAATATCAAAAAGACTTTCAACTTAATGGTACATTTTAAACAAAGAACTATCATTCCTATGCTCCCAATTACAATGTAGGCCTGGAAAAATTTAAAAAAAACTGAGGTGTTTTCATTATTTCTTCATTTGTTTTTATTTTGTATTTTTCTCTGCTGTGGCAATGAAAATGAAAGAAGTCATTCCTACTCTTGATCTGAAGAAGTCTCATTTCCACACAGGCAATTTTGTATTTGTTAGGTTGGGAGGACTGCATGGGTGGGGGTAGGAAGGGAGGACTGCTGAACAGCATGAAAAATAGCTCCCAGTGGAATTTTGAAAACAAATAAACATGAAAACATTTTTGTCTAAACAGTGCATTTTAATTTCCAGAGCTGTCCGTTTCATACCTCCCATGAAGCACTGTTTTCACTTTAAAAGAACTATTAGCTGTGATGCAGAAGAATGAGATGCGTCATTGGAAAAAAATGTGAAAAAGCTTTTTCTGCCTGGTCAGATGCTTTTGCAAAAAATAAAAACATTGATCCCTTTTAGAGGATGCATTTAAGATTGATAAATGTGTCTCAGTACATATTCCATATATTTAATATCAAAATGAACTCTGTGCATCTTACCAGGGCAAGGTGGTCTGTAGAAACAAGCTCAAAGCAGCTTCAAGGTACAGTTTCCTTACTGAGAGCATCTTTTGGCCTTTGGCCTTACCTTTTTCATTTGGGTCTTCTGTCCTCACTGACCTGTCTTCCTGCCTTAAGCAGAAAGGAAACTGCTCATTTATTTTCAGTTACACGTAAAAGCTGCATGTGTACAAGATGATGACATGAGAGCTAAACTACAGGCATGGCTGCACTCACAAAGGCAGAATTATTGGTAGTGGTATGGAATAGCTGACCTCTGAACTTATCTATCAAGGGCATGTCTATAGTTCAATAAACTAACCGTGCTGGGCAACAGTAAACTGAAACATAGAGCATGATGTGGATGACCTCCTGAACCAGAAGCAAGAAGTCCAGGCTTACACAGCATTAATCAAGCTAGTTAGCACCAGCAATCAACAAGGCTAATAAGCCTGTCCACCAAGTCACTTGAACCCACTCAGTTCAGGTAGTCTATGTGAAGCAGTGCAGGCATGTTTTAAGGTTCTGCTGCCTGACATACCATGGACAGGTGTTCATTTCTACAGGTGAAAGTATCTGGGAAATTTGCAGTGCTAGAAATCTTAGAGAGAGAGGGAGCATACAGGCATTGCAGCCTGCAACTGCCCCCTCTGCCCTCCTACTAGTGTGCTCACTGTTGGGCATTACCCCAGACTAGTAAAGGGGAGGAACAGCGGCTGCTCACCTCCTCCCACTCCCCAGGGTCACTCCAGCCTGGGGAAGGCGTGGGAAGCTGGACAATGGAGCAGCTGCTGATTCCTCACTTCAGGTGATGCACAGGGAAGCTTTTCCTGCTCTCCACTCTTCCTGGTCTGGGGTCGGAGTAACCTCAGGTCAGTGTTCCCTAAACAGAGGTAACTTCAGTCTGGGGGAGGCACAGGGAGACTTTCTCCACTACTCCAATCCTCCTGGGACCAGAAGGAGTTCAGAAGCTCCTGCTTCCTGCACTGGACCTCTCTCAGGCCTGGGAAGGACAAGGCAGGCTATAGGCAATAGGAGAAAGTCTCTTACAGGAGAGATCTTCCTTGCTGCAAAGAGAAAGATCTTTCTCCTAGAAGCAACATGCTTGCTGAAGGAGAAACTGTATGCTCTGTTTCTAGTGGGAGAGTGCCACCTGTCCATACCCACAGTAAGTTTACAGCATAGGCATGCTCCAGGTTCATTCTGTAAGGGCTGAAAGAGATGCATGTACCCAGAGCAGGGAACAGCAACCTATGGCCCACAGCCAGATTGACCCAGTTTGTTGTCAATGCAGGTTGTGCTCTATGTTTGAGTTTACTGTTGCCCAGCATAGTTAGTTGAACTAGGACACAGCTGCTGCCGTTACCACTTTTCCCTGTGGCATCACAGAGAGGGTATCTGCAGCCAACGCTCTTTCCCACAATGGTGTGGGAGTCAGCAGCAGTCACTTTCCCCTGCTGCTGTGAGGATGCACACTGGCTGAGGACACTCTCCCCTGTCACTGGTGATGGTGGCAACTGGGTCTGGTCCTAGAGCCTGCCTGCCATGTGCCTGCCTACCTCTAACCCCAAACTCGGTCAATCCAGCCTGTTGCCTGAAAAGTTTCCAATCAGAGAGTTCCCAAACAGTACATGCCTGGGAACAAGGTCACAAACCAATCAAAAATTCCCAGTCTCTCATAAGAGAAAAACACCACAGGAAGCCTCACCATGAGATTCCAGTATAGCACAATACAGTGCTGGAGGGAAAAAGTTTACAAAATCGAAGTGCAGATAAGGCTCTAATACCCATTAACTTTCCATGGGAATTAGAGTTGTTTTTGTCTTAAAAGCTCTTTAACTGTTAGCTATAGTATGAGTGATAGGCTAAAGCTGCCCAGAAGTCCCCAAATGGATTCTAAGTGTCTGACTTCTTTATATGCATATTAACTACTGCTGGATCAGTCCACAGAGCAGCCCTATGTGCCGGTGTAATCCAGCACGTGGGGTCATCCAGCCCATGGAGCTCCCCATGGGTCCAAAAATGTGGTAGCAGGGACTCCTGTTACTTTAAAGGAGAAGCAGCTGCAGGGAGGTCCCCAGGTGAGGGAAGATTACTCATTATGGGCTGAAGAGGATTAAGCAGCAGGGACCACTATGGCAGGGCTGGCGGCCCAACAATAGGACAGTAGGGCAGAGCCCTGGTTGGGCAGCAAGGGCACTGCTACAGGGGAGCAGCCATAAAGTACCGTTGAGGCTGTCAGGCCTATGAGTCACCTGACAGGAAGGGGTGGGACTTGTAAAGGTTTATAAGACCAGTGCCTGAGACCAAGTGGACAGTTTGGCCCTGCAGGCAGCAGGGAAAAGATCTCTAGAGCAAGATGCTGCAGGAGAAGGACCAATTGGCACCTGAGCTGCCCTGCAAGTTGCAAGTAATTAGTACAGCTGCAAAAAGAACAAAATACTGGAACAGCTGTGTACCACTCCAGAAAAATTGTCAGTGCTACACAGATTTAGAATCAGAGAAGTTAGGGTTGGAAGGGCCTACGGGAGGTCATCTAGTCCAACCCTGTGCTCAAAGCAGGATCAGCCCCAACTAGATCATTCCAGCCAAATTTGCTTAGCAGTTAATCAAACGTTAGATAAGAGAGATGGTTTATCCACATATAAAAGTGCCCTTTGTCTTGAAAGCCTGAATAATACTGTTTTTGCAGCCTCTCAATCATTTCCTGTGTTTATCATATCTATCTGCTTTTAATAGCATTAACTAACACAGCTGTTTAAAATGCTTATCCTCGGTCTCTGAAAGGCAGAGTTGAATTACATTTTAGATCACAGTAAGCCTCAGTTTTGCCTCGAGGCACAATGGTTTAAACTCTATGGATCAATTTTTCTTAAGTAATTCACTGTGATTTTTTTTTCCCCCTACAGAGATTTAAAGAAGGCCTCTTTCTAGAAATGGGCTGAAGGAACATGGTTTTTTAAGAATGAAACATTAGGATTTAAAGAGGCCAAAGAGCTGAACTTCAGGAGACCCTTCTGTGACAGACTACAGGTTCTATTGTAATATTTCTATTTTAAATGTGCTCATGTTGTAATAATGTGTTCCTCAGTTTCCCTGACTAGACTGTAGACCCTGATAGGTCCCAGAGCTGCCTACCTGCAGGATGAGGAAGATGAACCTCCAGCATCAACAGAAAACTGAACATACTTGTTGATAATTCAGCAAGGTGGGGTTGAAGATGATGTGCTGGAGGCATCCAGGGAAGAGAAATAAGTATGACAATGGATGGATCAGCCAAGAAAACAGGGTAGCAGCTGGTGGGGGGGGTTGGGTTTCCCCTGACATTGGAAGTCATAGCTGGGATGGCTTCAGGTAGTACTCAAAGACCCTGAGAGGTCTGAAGCAAACACCTCCTTGGGACTTTTGTCACATCTTCCACTTATTAGTGACTGGAATTATGCTGTTCCCATGTCATTTACCCTAGAAGTTTAGAGAACTAAAACAGCTGATCTTTCTCCTATGCTTAGAATAAAGCAATTATAAGTTCCTTTGGAGCTCAGCAGTGCTTCCTTGTCACTGTTCTAAGGGGAGATGGTTTAAGTGGTATCACATACAACTTTCTTTTGCTCAAATATAGTGTCACTAATGTCTTTTTTTTTCAATCACATGTCATGAACTGTGCCTTGCAACCAGAACAGATATACAATTCTAAGAATGCCCTCATTAAACCGCTATTAATTTCCTCTGAATTACATTCAGCGGGCTTCTCAGGTGGCTACTCTGCACACAGTAATGGGAGGAAGGAGCTCATTTGTAGTGTTTGATCCTGAAGCAATTTGGGAAGTGGAGACCTAAGGTTGCTCTAAATTGATGTCCGTATACCCATAAATCTATATGTAGACAGCTCAGCCATCTACTCTCACTCTTCCCTGGCCTCTCCCTCTTGGGCTGGAAAGGATTTGCACATCTGTTGGGTGAGGCTTTCTGACATGCCAAAGCATAGCAACACTTTGGTAATACTCCTGATGTGCTCCTCATCCCCAGTAGCCAGATCTGCATTTGTTACATTGCTAGCAACTTCAGGTAATGAGGTAATATGAAGATGACATGGGATTGCTGGAGGGGCAGACTACAGGAACTGATCACTTACATACTGACATTTCTTCTTCTCTATAGCAAATGGCAAAACTGCTGTGTAGTCTGTACATACAACCATGCTTACATTGCTAAGTTTGCTCTTTCTGTGAACCCTTTTAATTTCTCCATTATATGGCTACTCTGGCACCATTGATATAGGTTGTCACTACCATTTTATTATGCTGTTATTCCACTCAAGTCAATGGAGTCACAATAGCATAACACTGGTATAAGGCAAGAGAGAATCAAAGGTCCTGATAAGGACCAGAACCTAGACCTCCCATTCAAATAAAAAAAATTCTTGCAAAAAGACACACTGTGTATATCCCCACTTGCAGGGGCATGCACCTGCAGTGGCAAAAATAGTAGCAGCACACGCCCCCACTGTGGTGTGCATTGTGGTATGGGGCAAACTGCCCTTTCCCTGCTCCTGGCATGCTGGAAGAGCTGAGGAGCAACTAAAGGAGTTGTCAGCAGCCAGAGTGTCACCCTGAAGGACCAAGCCTCTGTGTCTGTTGGCACACATTCCTGTTGTACACACTGCTTTTTTTCTCACTTTTTTTTTTTTGCTACTGGGGTTTCGTGGTACAGTATAATAAGATGTCTGTTTTTTTGTTTGTTTGCTTTTTTTTTTTTTTTTTTTTTATAGCTGGACTCATATTGATCATACTACTGTAAAATAGAAGACTTTAGTGAACAGTCTGTACAGGACAATGCTTTGGAACCTGTTAACACAAGGCTATGAAAGGCATTCTTTGCCCATGCATCTGCTGACCTGCAGGGGAGAGGCAATTTCTATTTTTTTAACTGCAGGCAACCCAGGAGGTTATCACCTTACCTGGGTTAGTGTACAGTTGACTCTCCACTGTTTTTCCAATGCACTGAAGTTTAACAGCTTGAAGAGATTCATCCCCATGCATGATTGTTGGCAAGCTGCCTAAAGTATCACGCACCAAATTTGCCACTTCTCGCACATCAAAGAGCTTCAGCAATTCTGAGTATACAACTGGGAATGAGCTGAGAAACACAGTCTAAAGGGGAAGGGAAAAAGTATCAGTCATATACAGTGATACTAGGTTGACAAGGTCAACATTTACAGACTGACCAGTGTCAACAGCATCTCATATTCAGCCATCACAGAACACACCTGCTTTTGTGATATTTTGATTCCAAGTCATAAACTGTGATATGGATTTGAGGTCATTATTTAGATTCTTCCAAATATTTTCACGGTTCTCATGACCTTAGAGCTCTGACATGAATTTCTTTTTAACATGGACTTAGTCCATGCAGCCTGCAAGGGATTAACACTTGACCAGCAGCGTCCTCCCACTGTTCCTGCCACCAGGGTCTCTGGGCTTCCTCTCCCTCTTACCAGCTTTTGTTTCCTAAACAGGGACCCCAAGACCCACATGCCAATGATGACCACATGGGGGAGAGGAGGGCCAGGGGAATAAATGGCGTGGTGCTCCTGGCTGTTCAGAAGTTGGACAGCTCTGATTTAGTCCATTAAATATTTTTATTTCTCTCTCATTTGAGCATAAATCACTATTTTGAATGCGGCTATTTAACCACACAATCCATTAGAGAAAAGAGATTATTCACAATGACAGAACAAACTGTTAAGTGCCAGGATATACTATTTTTACCTACACAGACAAATAACAGAATCTCTCCCTCCCATATGTTTCAAATATTTAAAGAGGTTATATTGCCTGGAGACAGGATTGGGACTGTTGGTTAAATTCTGAATCCCAAAATAGGGTTGGAAGTCTTTTAAGAAAGAAAAGAATTTGAAAAGCAAGCAAGAAACACTAAATAATGAAGTAAGTTAGGTTACAAAAAATGTTGTTGGAACCTCTGTCTTCACACTTTCCCAAAACTACTCTATTGGGAAAAGTCACTTATCCCAGCCATGCTTCATCCATTTCAGCAATGGCTACTATGTACAATGCTAGAGTGTTAAAGGTGCTACCTGGAAACAGGACAGGATTCTCCAGATGCTCATTTACATGATTTTGTCCCAAAATATTTCATTTAAAGTTGCTCTGATGGAAAAGCTGCCCTAATTATATCCCTACCATTTTCCCATTAATTTAGCCTTTTCTTTGAAAAAAAAACCCCCAAAACATGTTTCTATATAACTCAAAGGAATGAACTGGTCATCCAACCCCTTGCTCAAAGCAGGACTATCCCCACTATATCATCCCAGACAAGACTTTGTCTAGATTACTTTATTACCTGTTCCAGTGTTTTACTACTCTCCTAATGAGAAAGTTTTTCCTAATACCTAATCTAAATATCCCTTGCAGTTTTCTTCCTGTTTTCTTCCGCAAGTGAGGGTTGCACGTTGAATGTATAGTATTGTCCTCTGTATGTTCTGGCCTCTGCTATTAGTGTTGATCAATTTTAATAACCCCAGTGGAAATGAAGAAACTACCTGAAGTACCACAATATTCAGTCTGGCAAGATTCTACATTAAGTTTAAACATTTTTGGTTCAAAGCATTGGATTCCAAAGTGCCTAGAAAGTTGAACACTGACCACAGGCATGGACATACCATTCAATTTCTGTTTGGCAATTATGGTCAGAGATATGGGTTTTCTGTTTGCTGCAGAAAAAATGTAGCTTTTCTTCTTTAAAGAAGAAAAAGGTGGATTTTCCCCAGCGATACCTCCCCCTCTCTATATATATATTAGTGGTGTTTCATTTTAATCACAGGAAAAAAGGGTTTTGGAGTTTTTAATCAGAGAACTTTGGATTTTTTAACAGAGAAAACCAGGATCCTTGATTATGATTCATTATAGCCACTGGAATCACGATTAACTCAATGTAGTCAGTCCCTTTCTAATGCAAAACCAACAGTCTAGTTAAGGGCATTTGGCACATGGACCAATTACCGCAAGGAAAACAGGGGTAGGGGGATTAATAGCTTGTCAGCTCTCCCTAGTAATCACCAGTGTGCACACTTGTACCTCATGGTAAATGAGAGCTACCTCCAATGCACACTATCAGGGGTTAGTTTTCATTTACCGTGGGGCAGGACATTAAGGCTGCTTGCAGATGTGAAAACAAAACAAAACAGTGCTTTGCTTTAAGCTCAGCCTACCCCGCTTCTGAGCACAGCGCATGCCCAGACGAGGCATCTTGTTAGTTTGACCTGGCTCGCCCAACATCGGTATAGACTGCGCACTTCAGCAGGTCATTCTGGCACTTTTATCTAGTAACTGATTGAGTCAGCTTTAGATACAAGTGCCAAAAAGCCCTGCTGAAGTGCCCAATCTATACAGACGCTGGGGAGCCAGGTCAAACTAATATACTTCCTCTTCTGCTAAAGCGCTGTTTTGTTTTTTTCATGTCTGTTAGCAACCTAAAACCCTGCATGATTCCAATTCTATGATTCAGAGGTTGGTGGAATGAAAAGTAGGGCCTTGACTAAATCGCAGTTTCGCAGACTGCACGGATGCTATGAAATTAGCTCCACACCACGATTTTTTAAGAGTTGCGAGCCGGTGCCAGAAAAACGCATGAAAACACAGGTTTCCCTTTGCAGGCTGGCAGTGTTCCAGGTTTCAAAGGGAAATCGGCTTTCACAGCGTTCCAGTCTGCAAGCAGCTGCTGGGGCCATGGCCAGATGAAGGCAAGTGTATAGGGAGCAGGGAGGGAAGGAGGCTTGGGGGCCAGGACTTGGAGACTGTTGGGTGGTGTGTGTGCCTACCATAGGCGATGTAAGGCCAGGGCTAACTGGGCTTATTCCCCCAAAACTTTTTGCAGCGGCTGGAGACAGCAGCAGCACCATGGCGCTGCCATCCTGTAGCATCTGGCTGTGCTTGGCGTGTAGCCACTCCTCTGCTGCCGCTTAAAGCTACAGCACCATTGCCCTGCAACAGCTCCACAGGAGGGAGGGGTGGGGGTCACGCGGGGCTCAGCCTCAGCCTCCCCAAATAATATTTTCCTCCACCGCTTGGTGCCTGCAGCTCGTGTGGCACATGAGTGGGTAACGTATCATTTTTCACGGAATATTCATGGAACTACTGGGACGCATTTGCCCAGATCAATGGTAGTTCCATGAATATTCCGTGAAAAATGATACTTTACCCATGCACATGTTGCAAATTTTCTACAAGAAATCCGTGATTTTCTCAGGGCTTTAATCATAAGTCATAACCCAGCAAAGTATTAGCAGAAACAAACAATAAATATGCCATGCAGAAAACATGAATTTGCCATTAGGCAAAATAAACAGAAATTCATGTATGTATTTCCAAACATGGGAAATGGAAATAACCAAAGCAAGCAAGCTTGCAAAACTTACTTGTAATTGAGATAAAGCACTTGCTCCCTTGCTCTCTTGGGAAAGGAAGAATCGAATTGACAGAAGGAGTTCCTGAATACAGCACCGGAATTCTTCCTCATTTTGTCCACCAGTAGCAAGAGAAAATAGTCTCCGAGACTGAACTATATATTTAAAAATATATTCCTGTGCCTATAAATGCCAGAAATGAAAGATCCTGTATTAGACCAAAGTCATAATCTTTAAAATTAAACAAAATAAAATTAATATATTTATAACATTTGTTGATAAACATGGCCTGACATTTAATTTTGTCAACATGTCTCTTCTTCCCCAGTGATCCGCCATCATTACTTTAATGAGAACATTCTTAAAAGCGTTACTCCTTCATCTGTTCTATGCAAGGAAGTATTTGCTTAGTGAGAGCTGGGAGGAGGGACCAGGACTCAAATAATACGTATTCTCCCATTTACACCAAAATTCTCTCTTCTTAACCTAACCAAAGGGGGAGGTAGAATCTTCAACAAAATATGTTTATCTTAGGATGCAAAGATTTGACAAATATACCAAGTGTGTAAAATGCGTTTGGCACTGTAGGATGAATCTTGTGGGCTGGACTACCATGCATTGTGATGGCAACAGTGTTAATCCCCAGAGCTGCCAGAGCCACTGTTTCAGAACAATTCTGAAACTAAGGGAGTTAACACTGCTGCCTCTTTTTCCCTTGCCCTCCCTCCCACACTTTTTCCCTGCTACCAATTTTAATTGCCAGGGATGAGTAATTAAAGTCATCAGGGATTAATACCACTGCCACAGGGACTATAGCAGTGGTGGTTATTAGTTCCATGGGCAAAATCTGACCCAAAGAGCTGGGTGGCCCAGGCTGTGAGAAATCCCATGTTCTGCTCAGCTGATGATCTTGGATCAACTTTTCAGAGTGAAAAGTTTCCAGAAACATGAATAAAATGATTAGCTGCCTCAGAGATATGTAAATGTACTGAATACACGGGGTCATTTCACCATGTGTTCACACCTCAGTGATTTAAATCAGTGTTGCTATGCTAATGCACCATTCAAGTATATTATTATATCTGGCAACTTCTATTACCTTTAACACTTCCTGGATATGCTCCTGTAGCTCTATTTCTGTTACTCGATCAATATGCCATTTCAGTACTTTTATAAGATCTCTAGAGTATGAAAAGGAAAATTATTACAGTGCAAAAGTGGGGAAAGAG